ATACAAACTCACATAATGTGTATATTGTTAGACTAATATAATGTTTTTTGTTATATTTATATTGTGTGTTGTTAGACTCGTTTGATCAATATACGTCTAATATAGTGAAAACAATATAAATATATAAGTGAAATATTTTAAAATAATCTATGTTAGTTTTAACTTTTTGTTTTAATCTTACTAAAATTTTAAATTCTACATTTTGAAATTAAAATTAGTAAAAAATGAATTTAAAGAATATGATTTTGTTTTTATTACAAGTATTTAATTTATGATATTTTTGAAAATGAATTAAAAAAATAAATAAATGAATAAAAAAGTGAAATAACTCCTATAAACATGCAATAAAAAAATATAAATAAAAGAGAAATTAAAGATGTCAAATAAAAAAAACAACTTTTATGACACTTGTTAACAAAATAAATATGGATAATAAAATACATTTTCTAGTTTTTTTTATGTTACTATAGATGTCTAATAATTTTGTATAGATTAATTTTTTAAGTCTATTATGTTATTTGTATCGATTTTATCATTCACTTATTCTTATTTAAGTTAAAATATGAGTAACACAATTAAGGATATTAAAATATTATCTATATTTACGAAGAAAATTTTGTTTTGAAGTGTGTGTGTGTGTGTATATATATATATATATATATATATATATATATATATATATATATATATTTCAATTTTATTCTTTATATATATTAAAATAAATTTATTTTTGTTAAATGTTTTAACCATACATGTGATTCTATAATAATAATATACAGCGTACCAAATGATAGAAGAATACTTTGATGGTTAGTTAGGGTAAAAATATTTTAAAGATAAATTAATAAGAAAGTAACAAATAGAATATAAATATTTGTTTGAAATTTAAATTTATTAAATACTAAAAAATACATTTTAAATTAATAACCTAATACTTATTCAAACTATTTTCTTTGTCACTGTTCTCCATTTAGTTATACTCTAAACCTTTGTGCAGTGCTTCTCCTTTGGGCCTAAACCCTTTCGGCGGCAGACAACCTTAAACAATGGTAATGTTTCCGTCTCTCTTTTTCTGCGTTTCTCTTTTCTCTTTTCTCTTTTCGATTATCGTTTCCGTTATTGTAACTCATCGTATCTTCTTCTTGAATGGAACAGAGGAAGAACAAACATGGGTTCAGGAAACCCTTTGTGATGAAAAAGCTTAGGCAACCGGAAGAACAACCGACCGTGGATCCTATTACGGGAAAGAAAATCCCCAAAAGTTTTGTCTTTTCACGAGGGAAGATTCCGGCCTCTCTCAAACAGCTTCAGATGGACCTCAGAAAGTTGATGCTCCCATATACTGCTCTCAGCCTTAGGGTTAATTCAATATTCCCTTCTTCTTCTTAACTTTCGTTGTTCATCTTTAGGTTAACATTGTAGAGATTGATGTGAACTTTTCAGGACTGAATTCAAAATTGCTTCTTGTTTTGTATTCCTGCAACTATAAATATAGTGAAACTTATAATTTGTGAAATTGAAAACAAATCTTCCTGTGAGTAAATCCCTAGACCCGGGGATTAACTGGCATAGGGTTAATACACTTAACAAGCAGTGTTGAGTTGGAGTCGATTTTAATATTTGAAGGTAGAATTTCGTCTACACGGTTTGGACGAAATTGTTTTGTGTGAAGGGTGTATGATTTCCGTCTGGAGTGAGATTGTGTGTCTTACTGTTCAATGTATAAATTTTTGTCTTGGATTTTGCAGGAAAAGAAACGGAATAATTTGAGAGACTTTCTGAATGTTGCTGGACCCATGGGTGTCACGCATTTCTTTATATTGTCAAAAACTGCAAGTTCACCTTACTTGAGGGTTGCAACAACCCCTCAAGGGCCTACTCTTACGTTTAAGATACATGAATATTCATTGGCTGCTGACATTGCTCGATCTCAATTACATCCTAGATGCCCTAAGGATCTTTTCAAAAATTCTGCTTTGGTAAAGTATTCTCTGTACTCACTTGCTATTGAAGTCTTATCAAGTTGAAGACTGATAAGATGGTCAAGACCTCTTTAGTTTGTATGTGTGTTGATAATAATAGTTCTTGCACTGGACATTAACTCGTCTAAAGTCTTTTTAAGTTCATTCGCCTGTTCTTCGCATTTTCATGTATGGTTTAGCTGCTAGTGGTAGACCAGTAGTATTTAAGTAGGGAATATGAAACTTTTTTTCTCTCTTTTTTCTTACACATTCTTAACTGTTGGAGCTAGATGAAACTTTTTGCAGCTGAATGAAACTTTGGTTTTAAAAGATGTAACCAGTTACATAGTAACTATTGATAGTTTAAGTTGTATATCTTTGTTGTTTGTCTAACATTTATGTCTCTGTTTTCTTGTCAGATTGTGCTTTCTGGATTTGTGAGAGGAGATTTACCTCTACAGCTTACAACTAACATGTTTCAGAATATTTTTCCAACAATTGATGTCAAAACTGTGAGTTTATATGCACACACACATCCATGACTTACTTGACACCCAAGTCCTTCATCTCTTACTGTCACGACTTTTTATTTCAGGTTAAGCTCTCCACTTGCCAAAGAATCTTGTTGCTTAATTATAACAAAGACACTAAGCTCATTGATTTTCGGCATTATTCCATAAGATTACAACCTGTAGGTGTTTCACGCAGATTAAGAAAACTTGTACAGACCCATCAGGTTCCTGATCTAAGGAATCTTCAAGACGTTAGTGATTTTGTCACAAAGTAAGATAATTAATAATCAAGTTTTTATTTTCTTTTATTTTTTATTTTGAATGATGATATGGAAGAAAACCTGTATGATATGATCCTTTTGACCTTTGCATTCTGCTATCTGTACAAAACAATTAGCCAGGTTGTTTCCACTCCCTAATTTAACTTGTGATTTTTAAGGGCTGGCTATGGATCCGAAAGTGAAGCTGACGAGGAAGCAGCAACAATTACTTTGTCTAGTGATCTTGGTAGAGTTAATCGTGCCTCTACAAAAAGTGCTGTCAAATTGCAAGAGGTTGGACCCAGGATGACTCTTCAACTAATTAAAATTGAGAAGGGACTGTGTTCGGGTGAAGTTCTCTTCAGTGAATATGGTACCTCATCCTACACTTCGACCTCAAGTAGATTCTTTTATTATTACTAAAAATTCTATCAAAGCCTCAATTATATTAGCTGTTTAATATTCACTAAAAGCGTGGTGAATAGTAGTTCATTCGAGCTATTTCATATCGTGATTTGAAAGTACCAAATCCAGAAGTACTTTTACTGAAAGCGTTGTGAATAGCAGTTCATTAGACATATTCCCTAGATGCTTATAGATGACATTGTCATTAAAGTTGTCATTTTTGTTACTTTCTGGTATAGTAGACATGGAGATCCTTCTGAAATCAATTGATTATGTACTGTAGAGAAGTGTTTGCTTCTTGAACAACTCTCATGTTAATTTTTTTCTTTTCCTCTTCTCCCTTGATCATTGCTTATCCCCTTAGTCATTTTTCTTCTGATTTGAAGTCTTCAATTGCCTGCATCATTTGTCAATGAACTTGTTCTTTGCACATGCTTCCCACATGACCCTTTTCAGTCTTTACTAACTACTGTTCTTACTCATCCCTATTAGGAAATACTGGAGGCAAAGAAAAAAGTGATGAGATGGAAGGTGAAGAAGACGCAGAAGGCCAGAAAGAAGGAGAACATGCAGAGGATAGTGAAGATGAAGACGAAGATGAAGAACTTGATTAGTCGCATAGTGGTATCAGATGGTAGTGTAACATTCAATTTGTGTTGTAGAATTTTAACACTGCAAAACTGATAGATGCCACTGGAAATTTTTTCACATCGAGTATTCCGGTGGTTGTGGAATACAATTAATGTTCCTGTCAAAATCCATAAATTTAGAGTAATCAAACGATGTTCGTTTTTACTATCAATTTTATTTATAACTTTTCTTTCACCACTAGCTTCCATGAGGTTTGATATTTTGGACGCAAATGTGTGGATGGGAGAACATACCAGAATATTTCCGTCTTTTGATTGGGAGTGAAGCCCTTCGATATAATGCTTAAGAGATTCTTGCTTCTGCAATTCTTTAACTATAAATCAATTTACATATAAGGTAAGTAATTGTTTTGGTTTGATTTACAGAACATTCGTCTTAATATCAGTGACGAATCACATGTATCCCTGGTAATTATTTTTTCAGAAGAAAAAGCTAAATAACTCCAGAAATACTGATAAGGTAAAATCTGTACAGCTTAAAATTTACTTTTCGACAGAAACTAATCTCAAACATGATTTCTTTTTATTTTAATTTGATTCGAAAAATTAAAAATATCTTTATTTCAAGTCGAGTATAACCGAGGCACAAAACTAAAATTTGTATTAATCTTTCACCATAAAACAAAAGTTTGATTCTTAACAAAAAATGTCCCAAAATAAATAATGGAATAAATCAAGGATGCTCCCACATATATCTTGCAGTGTCGAAATGAAAAAGAGGCCCTGAAAATATTTATGTTAAAAAACATAATTGCTTTTGTTAAAAACATAAATTTAGAGTAATAAATGCTGGTAGGCAAGATATTCCTATTGAGCAATTATGGAGGTGGTCTGAAGTTTCAGAAGCCTTAAATAGAGTAGGTTGTTTTTTATTGGTAGGGATGAATATCAGCAGCTATACATAAAATACAAACCACCAAGATCTTTGAGAAATGCCAAAAATGCATTTGGAAGATGTCTATTTTTATGTGTTTTTTTTATCGCAATCTAACCAGCACGTATTTATAGTTCTAATAATTTAGTAATTCATTTTTAGCTTTTTGATGGATATTTATAAAAAAATAATAGTAGTCAAGGCTAGACTAATCTTGATTGCAAAAGGTGTAAGAAATCCTCGTTTTCTGCGATCCATAGTTAACATTCTTTAGTTCTTCACCTGCATTTGATGTGATTCATTTTTTAGGCAAATGCTGATTTGACGCAGCTGTAATGGGTTTGCATAGGTGGAAAGAGCATAACGATCGAAGATCAGAATCGGTTTATCCACCAGTTTGGTTGGGTTGGTAGTGGACTTAAATTTAGAATATTTGGGATTGAATTTTGAAGAGAATCGCAATGCAGATCCAAACATGCCCTACGTATGAATACGATGAAAACCTACCGAATAGGCAAATGATGATGATGTCGTCTTTTGCATCAACATCTCCTCCAACACCAGTCTACATTCAACATCCTATTTCCAAATTGGACACTCTAGCTGGCATTGCAATCAAGTATGGTGTTGAGGTATTCTTCTTCTCTTTCATGAAGAAACTGCATCGGTATGTGGCAAAAAGGCTGATGCATATTTCTATTGATTTTGGAAGCAACAAACTTATTATTGTACAAGTAAACTGAATTGATATAGGAACAAAATTCGTTAATATCAAAGGGATAGAAAAGTTCTATATTGTACCATATTGAGTTATATCAAATGGTTTTGAACTTTTTGTTATATGTATGTATTTCTCTGGTAAGTTGTAGATGAAGTTTTCTTGTCTGGAAAACTGTAGGTTGCGGACATAAGAAAGGTGAATGGACTTGTGACTGATATGCAGATGTTTGCTCTCAAGACCCTTCACATTCCACTTAATGGAAAGCACCCTCAGCCAAGTTCTACAGGGTGAGTTAAGTTTATTTATTGATTGACAAATATCAGTAAATACCACAAGTTAATATAAACCCTATTAGGTAGTATTGATTGATTTTAAAGTTATAAGAAGTATGCAAAAGTGTTTTGTTATTTTAATTATGGTGCATTTTAGCAAGAGTGTAACGTTGATATCTTATATAACTAATGTTATAATACGTCCTTTTGGGCAATTTGGATGATATCTTACTCCAGGTAAATGCTTACAGGTTACAAATATAAATTTCCTATTTCAATTAAATACAATATAGAATATTACTTCTAATGAACATTTAATTCAGTGATGAGCATAAACATTGTTATTCCTGCAGACAAGATGACACAGAGAATAGTCCAGCTGATAATACAAGCTACGAACTGTTTGAATCATTCCAGCCGCTGAGAAGGAAGTCCTCCGAGCATAAGCTCTCCTCAGTCCGGCGCTCTTTGCCAGGTCATTACGGAGCTAAACCCAAAATGAAGAAATGCGCATCTGAAATCTTTAGCATGGTAGAGTACGAAAAAAGGTCTCTTAAATATTCAGAAAATGGTTCGTTCTACAAAAACTCACCAATGTCCGGCAAAACTCTTGGTCACCATCGAAATGCTCTTAGTTTGGCCACTGATAGTCATGAGAGGTCTGATATTATGGCAGGTGTAGCACATAGGAAAAGTAACCTTGATAAAAGGAATGCTACACTTATCCGGAGGAATCATAAATCTGAAGTTAATCTTCAGCGTATTCCAGAGTTGCTCTTGAAGCAGGATAGTAGTAGCAATGGTGGGTTTTCTACAAGATCGGCTAATGGCCTAGCTCAGAGGCAGAAATCTTCTAGCCGATTATCGTTGTCATCTTATTCCAAACAGGTGGTTTAAGCACAGTGCTATTTAGTATAATGGAAGCAAATTATGAAACTCGTCATGCCAAAATCATCGGTTGGGCCAACCTCAATGTGCAGTTTAAAACCAGTTTTACATACCATTTTCAGCTGCGGCCATTGCAAAACTTATCTTTGATGGCTAGCAAAAGGATTACAACTGCATTTGATTAGTATATGTAGTTAGTGATCAAACCAGTTCTGTTGCCCTTTCTAAGGTTCTCAGACCTTTGGCTTTCACAGCAATGGGTTGAGGTAAAAAATGTTAGAGAAATATATTAATATTACATTTACTAATCTCTTAGAACATTTGCAATGGAAGTTTCTTATCAATGAAAACGTTATTTTAATCTAGGTTCTACAAATACGAGCTTCATAAAACTTAAAAAAAAATTATAAACAAGTCTCTTCAATTCTAATGATATCGTGTATGTAAGATTCACAGTAAAATAAAGCTTTATTAATAAGAAACTTCCTTTAAAATGCTCTAGCATGGCACAATTAATGTTATCTTAAAAATGGGTAAGCAGATAAGTTCAGGAAATTTTCCACCCGATTTGTTTTGCTTGTTCTACAAGCAGAAGATTACATAGTTGCAATAATCTTACGAAATCGTTCCGAAGCAGGATATAAATAAATGAACAAATCCGCAAGGGTTACTTTTTTTGGATTTTTATTTGATGCTTCTAACTTTTTTCGTTAGCTATGCTAAAACGTTAGAATTACCAAACAATAACGATTAAATATAAAAATTCTTCATGTTCATCAGTTTCTAGTGTATCAGCGTTAAGACAAAATTAAAATTAGTACACGCGATTAAACAATGTTTGGTAAATAGGAAGTAAATAATTTCTAAAATATGAAGTTAAATAGATATGACAAATCATTAGAAGAGTGAGTAAAATTGAATAAAAAAATTGCACCTTACCATAGTTTAAATGTAGATATTTTTACCGTAAATATTTTTTGATGAAGGTCCACAACTCTTCTTGTAATGGTTTCCTAGCTCCCAAATACAGGTTTTGCCCTCAAATTTGGGTTGCTTGAATCTTTTAAAACATTGCGGCTATGAAACATGCCTAAACACCCTCTTTTCTGTGCGGCGAATTTGAGACCGTCCCCTTAGACTTGCAACTTTCTGTAGACACTTTAAAAATAATGACCACATATTAACCTTACACGAAAGCTCACATGCAAATTTCGTATCATCATCCCCAAAATAAGACATGAAAAAAATATTAAACTAACTCAAACGAGAAGTGCACAATTTGCTACAACTTCAACATACCTAATATTAAATTTCAATAACGACAGATAGCTATTTAAATATATTAAGTAAAAACAATTTATTTATACAAAATTGGAATTGAATTCAATTTCGCTAATGAAAAGAATATTATGCATACACAATTCAATAAAACTTTTAAATAAGACAATTTATTACCTATACAGTATTTCAGTTTTACATAAATTTCTCTACCAAAGGCAAATGAAAAAAATGTACTCAGCATGAGCAATCGTGAAGCTAAGAAATCGATTGCAAACAAGTAAAATAAATAAATTGGCGAACAATGCTAAGATGACATTTGAGGAATAAAAGAGCAAGTTGAAGAATGATAAAAAAAAATGCCCCTAAAAGTAACAATACAATATTAGTATTTGTCGTACCAACAGCTCGAGAAGCCTAAAATGTGTAAACAAAATACACTTGATAACATAATGAAACAATATGCCTAGTTTAAAAGTAGTGTTCAAATTAGAAAGCAGCGATGGTCGCATATACCATGCACATTGTTTCACGAGAATTAGTTTTGGTTCATTTAAGACGCAAAAATCAAGTCCAATGTCATAAATCAAGTATAGCTTCTTCGAATGACAGAATTTAAGTACCTCATGTTTTCCAAAATTACTGACTGGTTTACTATCTAATTCGATAACCAAAATCTTTTTCTTCACAGGAAGTATACAAACTAAAGGATAGAACTACTCACAACCTAACAATCAGAAAGAACAAACCAGGGCGTTTTGTTCATAACTAGTGTGAGCCAAATAATCAATCAAACAAAGTCGGCAGAGTGAACAGACAATTAAAGTCAATATGGTGGACTGCAAATGGACCGATCATACGTTTCAAATGTGGCTGAGGCTGGGGCTGGGGCTGGGGCTGGGCTGGGACTGGAGGTGGGGCTGTGGCTGGGCTGGGTTGGGACAGGGGCTGGGGCTGGGACTGGGGCTGGGGCTGTTTAAGACACGAAGGTTTCAGGAATTTAGTATTATGTTAACCTTCTAAGGCTGCCATCTATTTGTTCATAACTAGTGTGAGCCAAATAATCAATCAAACAAAGTCGACAGAGTGAACAGACAATTAAAGTCAATGTGGTGGACTGCAAATTGACCGATCATACGTTTCAAATGTGGCTGGGCTGGGGCTGTGGCTGAGCTGGGGCTGGGCTGGGACTGGGGCTGGGACTGGGGCTGGTGCTGTTTAAGACACGAAGGTTTCAGGAATTTAGTATTATGTTGACCGTCTAAGGATGTGATCTATGTTATCTGTCTTAACCTACTTATCCGTCGAATCCTTATCAGAATTAAACCATTCCATATACGACATGCTACTTTCCAATCCTCAAGCAATCCTGAGTGATGTTGAAGAATTGTTTCTCAAAACATATTGAACATCTCTTCCAACCTTGCATTGGAAAAGCAAGAGACAAACATCGAGAAAATGTATAGCACACGACAAGATATCTATGACAACAAATTAAGCAGGTAAATAATTGTATATATAATCATATGGCGAAAACAGAAAGATGGAAATTCAATCCATCCATTAATCAGATAAAACTACGATCCTAATGACCAAACTTAATCATTCCAACTTCCTACTGTAAGAATTCAGAAAAATTTATCCAAATTGCAATGAGACATGCATGCATCACACACGACAGGAAAACAACCAAACAAAATGGTGTATAATATTCGTAAACTAGTCATTGAAAGAATAGAGTTCTTATAAAACATTCATAAGAACTATGTTTACAACTATGGGTCCCTAGCACAGTAATTGAAGTAAAGAAATAACTAAAGCATGGTCAGTTCTTAAATTCCACGACAGTATTACCTCAATTATCAGCAGTCTTTATGAGAAGTTTCACTGTAATCTTTGTTCAGTTATCACATTCAAAACATGAAAAAATGATCACCATCTTCTTTGGCATTAACAAAACCTGAAATCGCTGAGATATTCAGAATTCCTTTTCAGCAATAACAAAAGGTTACCACTTGACAGAACACATCATATACCAAAATATGAATTAAATAAAAGCAGCATCACGTGCCATCATCATTGAAACAAGGTACAATCAATGCAATGCTAACGCTAGGAATGACTTGATGAATTTAACTGAAAAAAACTGCGTGGAAAAAAATGTGTCTTAAAACACGGGGAGGATAATCGGTTTCCATAACTTCAAATTTTACACACTGATCCATTGTGTCGAAGTTTACAACAAAAATGGGGGAAACGAGTATTAGAACATGAAAAAGAGAGATATTAACAACAAACAAGCAAGCTGAATACATATTCAAGCTGACTTATGCTAACAATAACAAAAACACCATAATATCAAGACAAAGAGTCAAATGCTTGAGATTCTAAGGAACAGTAAAAGTAATTATAGAAATTACACAAACAAGGAGTCCGGCAGTATTTCATTCAAAATTTATAAAAAAATGTTCGTGCATTCTCTCATGTAAAAATAAATGCATAAATAGCTTATCATGCTGCAATCAAATATACTTTTAGAGTTACCCGTCTTTTTCTTCCTTCATAGTTTCAAAAAATCTTCAAGGGTAAATGCAATGGACATCACTTATTTGTTGCCCTTTCTCACAGAAGCAATTTAAAAAGTACAAATTCAAAAACTAGCCAATTGGCTAATCCATCTACTCACATAACCACGCAAAAAGGGAATGGAACTCAAGCAAAACTGCTCACAATTGAGAACTTTGAAGAACGGTTTCAGATTATTCACTTCTCTTATTCAGTATATCTTTCACATTCATTCTAATTCATGTATAACTTTAGTCACAAAAAATATCTATCAACATTCCTACTAAAGTCAACCTACGTTGGGCCACTTAAAATCCTGGAATTGTCACAGGTAGGTGTGTTTCACCAAAAATTACAAACAAACACAAGTCATGTCCAAAATCAATGTCCCTTTTATCATCAGCATTCCCATAATTTATAATTCCACTTCTAAAAAAACGAGAAAACGTATCAAGGAAGAAAAAAAAATAGATCAAGTAATAAGTTTTGCAAGTTCACGCACAAAACACAACAAAAACTAGATCATTCCCAAACAACCCTTGCACCAAAATACTCATATCAGAAATACCTCAAGTTCAACTATATATTCTATAAAACTGCAACATGCCCTTGGTATTAACTACGTGAACTTGCTAGACAGAAGACTCTTATGTGGTGTTTCAAATTTTTGAAAGGACTGGTCAAGAAGGAAGGCTTCACATTTAGGAGAATGAGTGAAAAACTCCTAATAAAACTTGCATAAGAATACCAATGATATAAATTACCCTCACTATAGAAGAAATATGAGGACAATCAGACGAAGATCGAAGGCCTTATATAAAGAACTAGTCTCTTTCCCTATCATTAAACTCCTGAATAAGTGAAAAGTCCAACACAGAAGGAAGAAAGAATATAATAAAATGATTTAGATTGGTGAATCAAGACAGAATAAAAATTATATTTGCACGTCTGCTTTGATAGAACTTTCCACCTGCCTATACATGCTTGTGACTTTCTTAGTGATAATAACATTGTTGTGTTTTTAACTAAACACATTAAATAACTTAGTAATACAAAATAACAAGTTAGATAATATTAAGGTTAAAGTACGCCAAAAGGATGAATAAACATTGCGCAAAGATAGTATATCTAAAAGTAATAACAGAAAGAAAGTTGTCAATATAAGAGAATTCCAACCTTGCAGTTTGATCAAAATAAATGTTCAAAATTCGAATACGATCACTTGATTGAAAGAGTTTTAAAATTGATCGCAACTTAACTCTTTGATCAAAAACTATTGTTGAAAATATTGCATACAAAGATGACCGTTTATGCCAGAGCCTGAAGCATTTTTTATTCAAACTGACAATGGCAGTTAGTAGTAGGCAAACTAATCTATCAGCATCAGTGAAAGATCTAAATGAAACTTGTGGAAGGCTCTGGTATCTTCGAAATGGGGTAGCCTCCCCATTTAGGAAGCTACAAAACAAAAATAAAAATAAAAACTAAACAGTGCCAATTTAAGTCTATAAAAAGAAGGATAACAACTGTCAAAATCAATAGACAACATCTCACGTTATACTATTTATGCTTAGATGTAAACTCGATTGAGAATTATGGGAGAGAATAAATGAATAAATCATACAAAATTTACATATAAACAATCCTTGAAACAAAAAGGAAAACTGTCATCATATGTGATCTGGCTGAGAAAATGAATGCAGCTAAAAGTAGGCACAAATTTTATTAATGTGACATGACCAATAGAAAACAAACATTAAATCTGTCACACAGACTTTGAAAGTATAAATTCATCTGTACAGCTAGATATGATTTCACAGGTTAAATAAGTTTTTAGTATCTCCAAAATTAACACGTTTTCTATATCCACATTTAATAAATATCTTAATTTAATTCTAACAGTTATTATGTAAGTTTTGAATTAACAGCTGTTAACTTGCTAAGTTTTACATTATCACATACCAATGTATATGCAAATATCTAATTAATATTATTGCATGTCAATCCCATTAATTCAATAGTAATAAAATTACTGTCAGGATCAACTTTAAAGATACCAAAAATTCATTTAACCCTAATTTCATCTCATGAAAATGGTCTTCAACTGAAGAAAAAACACAGATATTTAACAATCCTCACCCCAAACATAATTATAAACACAATAAATCTGTAAAACGATCACTACTCAATTGATAAAACCAATAGGTATAAAAAATAAAAGGCCAGAAATTCAAAAGTAAAAACACTACTGATTATTCAGATTGAACTATACACACGGTTAAGATTTCAGGTGTGAGTCTCTCATTGCCTTGAGTTGAAGGTGGTATTTCGGTCTCTTATATGATTTGCTAGACTTATTGGTGCCAAATCTCCTCGACATTTCTACTTATAAGAACCCCACACATACATTTATTTCACAGAAATCCACAATCAGAGGGGAAATAAAGCTTGCTCAATATTTTCTGAACACAAGTTTCTAAAGGTTGAAGAGATTATATTAGCTGGTACTTCCTCTGAATTTGAATATAAACAAAAATATGGTCATGTTTGGTGGACTTAAATATAAACTAATTTAAATCACCTTAACCCTATTTAATACTACTTTTTAAAAAAATACCCTTACATAACACTACACCATCCCTAATAAATATAATCGAGAGTAGTGGAAATCGAAGGTAGACTCGAGACATAACTTAAAAAGTAAACTTTAAACCTAAGTCAACCTTAGAAAATCATCTTGTAAGACTTACAATCAGTTATATACTATAATTTAGTCATGTATCTAACATACCCTGCATGCTGCGAACTAGATATCTTTGTGTGTAGGACAAAATATGCATGGATGATCCCCAGATAATGAGTGACATGATAGACCCAACAAATTAAGTCATGATAAGTTATGATATCATCTTAAAAGGTATATTTCAAGTCCGACTCATCCTTACAAAACTAATTTTCAAAATGAAATTTGCATCCACTTACATACTATAATAACTAATAGGCATTTAGTCATGAAATATGATATTACTTATCAAGAAAGTGCAATGGAATATGGGAAAATAAATTGAAGCCAGAAAAGACAAGCCTCTTTCAATATTGAAATAAAAATAACATTCATTTATTGGAGTTAAAATTGAGTACTTGAAACAGATTTCTATATAGATATAATGTAATAATTACAAGAGATGAGAAACAGATAAACTAACCAAGTGAAAAACATGGGCTAAACTTGGAAGTAAATGTTCCTGGGATACATTGTCAGGAAAAATTACAATATACACAATCCTGTCAAAAGCCTCCTCAAGTTTTCAAAATTTCTTCATGGGTAAGTTGTATGTACTACACAGGCGAATCTAACTTTGTGGCACAATTTAACCTTTCATGTTGATCCACCAGCAACACCACTGAAAGATAAAGAGCAGTAACAATCAACAAGGCAATATTGAGATACATTTCTTTGTTGAATAAAAATAGATATACAATTAAACTTTTTCCTATAAGAAATCCATTCCATATACAAGAGGTTAAATAGTCAAAGCTCACTCTCCCAATGTATAAAGAATTAACATAAATTTGGGTTTTGGAAAGTCCCGTGAAAGAGTTTCCTGATAATAATGAACTCAGTCACTATCCACCAATTATGCAAATGAAGGAGAAACTTTTAATTATGAAATCAATTATTTAAATGTCAGACTACAGAAGTCCATAATTTTTTTTTCAGAAAATAAATTGTTCATGGGGAATTATTCCTGATGTTTCTAGGAGGGAGAAATAAATTTTCATGGGGAAATAAATTTTCAGAAAATACATTGTCAGCCACAATAGAAGGGAAATAACTAGAGGTCATTACCTCTTTTTATTGAAGAAATTACTCAGAGGAGGGAGAAATAAAAGAAAAACTAGGAGAATAAGCTAACTTAAAAAAGTTCTCATTTTCCTCCAGTAACATACACACAATTTTCAAACTGTTCAAATACAGAAACACTCAGAATAATTTACCAAAGATGAACAAACTGAAAAATATATTTAAGGGAGGGCCAATATTTCCGACAGCCAAGACTACCCAACATCACAACTTCAAGTGGCACTTCAAGAAGCACGGGAGTTCATTTAACAATAAATAATCCTAACCTTCCTAAGTATGACATAAAGAAACTATTGTATTTCCATTTTTATTCAACATTTATTTATTTTTTTCAATATTTGGGTACAAGCACACATTTCAATGAGACACGGAAGCCAAAGTTCATTGAACAATCACCTATTACAGCTACACAGTTAAACCATTATTGCAGAAAGAAATCCTCCCAAACACAAAAAAGTTTACCTAAAACTAATAAGAAGACTCCATTCAACTTCAAGTGGGTCTCCAACAATTAACAGAAGGAATGTCCGGCCTACAAGGCATCATCTGAGGTACAACGTGTCCTGAAAAGGGAAAAATGTATTTTAAATTTAGTTTAATAAGTATAAATTCAAAAGAAGTGCGTTAGAAGAGTCAATCAAAACCATGGAATTAAAATAGAAATTTAAGATTCGGTTTAACTAAAATAATATTAAATCATGCACCCAAGATTGTATGACGAAAACTAGCATATCACATCTAACTATATAGATAGATAGATATTAAAAATCACCTGAGATTGGAGCAACAGGTAGGTTGCTTGAAATTGGCCGCTGAAAACCTACAGTGGTTACTGGTGTCCTTTCAAATGGTGGCTGAAAATGACCTTCATCACCATAATCAAAAACAACTTTTACAAACAACATTTAGATTGCTTGTACAAACACCACAAAAATACAAATAACAATAGTTGAACTAAAATGTGATAGGAACCAAACAATTTGATTGATAGATGGGAAATATATGTATTAACGAAGCAGTCTATGCAAGTTGATACTGATTAGCAACAAAAAAACAAACAGAAAAATTACAAAGGAAAATGCATAACAGAAATGATACGAACAACTCCTCCCTCAAACCAGCAGGCTTGCCCAATCTTTTCCTAATATTTTTTGCTCCCTTCCCTATCTCCCTCCACCCTATTTACAACCAACTCCATTATTCTCCAAATTTTACCATATCTCTCTCCCCCTATCTTTCAATGACACCTGTCCTCATTCTGTTACTTCTGTCTCTTTTCTCACCAGAATTGTCCATCTCTAGTGGTGGTGCCCTCCCTTTTTTCATACACTACGAAACCTTCATCAAAATCATTGGGCTTATGGCAGCCCTTCTCCTCTTACACACCTTAGTTATGGGCCTATTACTTTCACTTGTATGAACAATAAAAACGTGACCAAAAACATACCGACCTCTATAAGCTGTGAACAAACTTGAATGTATACAAATAAGAAAAAGCCTACAATAAACCATATTTGTATTTAAGACAGACATTTAGACTGAGCCAAGTAGATCATACCTTCTTGCCCATAGGGTGGACCAGGACATGATGGATTTCTCCCTCTCCATACACTATGTTGATTGTTTGTTTTATATTCACTCGATGGCATTCGCCATTGCTCATCAGCAACAAATTGTCTCCTGCCATCAGGAAGAGATGGTAGAGGGAAGGGAGGATGGAATGAATGTGGAAGATGTTGCTGAACTGTAGGATTTGAATATGGGTACGGATTTGGTGGATTTTGGGGTGGGGCAGGATGTGTGTGCCTTTGTGCATATGGGGGATTGCCCTGCTGAAATTGATGGTTAGGTTGAGGAACTTGAGCATTTAGATACATATCATTTTGTCCGTACTCTAATTGCCTTGAAGGGTTAAAACCAGAAGGTTCCTGGGAGCTGCAACCTGCTGTTGGAGCATAAGCAGGAGGCTGTGGAAATATTTCATTCTTGACAGCTGCATTATTGTGACCTCCAGGAAACGAATTCCCAGCCATTGGAACTATTTGGTTACCCTGCACACATGACAGCATTTATCAAAATCAACAATCCAAAATAAATTCATGACAACCAAGTGATACCAAAAGAAAAACAGTCTTACATTATTAGTGCCACTAAAGTCATGAGGTACACTCTGCTGATACCCCAACTGTGGGGATGACTGATGTGATGACTGAGATGGCATTAATGGTTGGGACAGAAGTGGCCGAGCTGGTCCCGACGATTGAGGCACCAAGGACACTGGAGGGGCTGATGGTGGTAAAGGAGGAGGTGGGGGTTGCAACATTGGAGGTGGTGGGGGTGGGGGAGGAGATGGTGATAATGGAGGAGGAGGGGGCGGTGGTGATGAAGGCAAAGGTGGGGGTGGAGGAGGTGAATCAAGTGGCAAAGGAGGAGAACCCTCAGGAGTAGCTGACATTTCGTTTGAAATGCTTGGAGTCAGCTCCAAATTGCTATCTGACACCTGAAGTTGCAAATCAATTTCATCAGAACTGTTAAAAAATGTTGGCTTTTCATCCTTGGGATGACCTGAAACATCTTCCATTTCCAGCTCACGATCCACATCTTTAAGATACAATGACGCTTGTCATTTGAGGTAATAGTAGAGGTTTCTGATTCTCCAAGGGCATGGGTGGGATCTGCTGGAGATGCATCAAATGTATCCTTACACAATTTGATTGGTATATCATCTTCATATTCGTCTTCATCTTCTTCAAATGCATGTGGGGATAAAAAGCCAGACAACTGAAATGTTTCATTACTAATACACAATATCCAAGAATATAACATGAATCAGAAATAGAATTACTATTCAAAGCAAACAGAATGGTAAACAAGAAACAAATAAACAGTACAGCTTTATCTAGTTAATAAATATTCCAGCAAACTAAAATCCACAAATGCAAGCCTTGAACAAATTTAGAAAACAATACTTAGTATTTCCATTTCGTATGATGCCAATCCCTGGCCCATCTACATTACATCTCGTAATGAATAATAACCAACGACAAAAAGAAAATTTTTATGTATCATCGCACCATTAACTAGTATTAATGTCTATTCATTAGTTTCTCCTATTCATGTTTTGAATTTTGTTTAAGAGCATTGTTATCAAACTCTAGTGTTAACTCAAAGAGGTACGAGTTTACATTCCCACACACGTTGCTTGAGTTGAATCGTAAGCAAACTCGATTTTGGAGCAGAATTTATGGGATCATTGTGAACTTGGTAATCTAGGCCGAATTTTGTAATTAAAAATTGAAACTAGGAAGATATTTAAGGAATATCTGAGAGTGGAACTGAGAGCAATCCAAGTGCAATCCTCATTTATTAAAAGTAGAAAGAAAAAAAACTCCAGGAAAATGGTCGGATATTGGATGGAAGAATGGGATACTAATGACCATGGTAGAAAAGTGGAATGTAATTATTGTTCAAAGATTGAGAGTGGAAGAATATTTAGATTCAAGCATCATCTTGATAGAAATTAAGGGGCACTTTGAGCCTTGTGCTTCTGTTTCAGAGTGGTTAATGGAAATGCTGCAAATTTCAAGGCAACAGATCTGTTGATGCAAAAAAATGAGCATTTGTATTGAACCGTAGGTGCTTCCCATTGCAATGGTTTGATCTTTAAAGATTTAAAAAGCATTTAAAGGTCCATCAAGTTACTATCAAGAAGAAAAGAAGGATCACCACCAACATATCTGGCAAAACAATGTTAATTAGCATGTTGATGAAGTTCACAAAAAAGAAAGAGACTTGATAAGACCAAATATTATCACAGCTTATTTGATTCTAGTTTGTCTTCATAAATTGAAAGCAACATTGTTAACCATATTTAGCTTTGAAAAGAGAAAAAACAAGCTGGTTGGAACTTTACAAGAGGAGAGAACAGTTGAAAACATTGTATTAGATAGTCAATTTCAGAAGAATGTAACCACATGCCTCAAAGTTGAAGCCCCTCTTATGGTGGTCTTAAGATTGGAGGATTCAAATAAAACACAACTTTTCGTATATGTGGAGATGGATTGTGCAAAAGACAAGATTAAGTTCAATTTTAATAATATTAAGGAAAGGTAAAAATTCTAAGCCCTCTCTCTTTCAAAACCTAATTACTTATTTGTGAAATTATTTATAGTATAGCATAATTGGTGTTAAATTTCATTATGAAGCTGCTTGGAAAATCATTGACGAAAGATGGGGATAATCAACTACCCAGGCCTATGCATGCCACTACCTATTACCTAGGCCCCTACATCCACTGTGCACCAACTTTTAGACCAGATAAAGAGGGGTTGTATATATGAATTAGAAGATTGGTTAAAGATGTTGTGAAAAAAAAAATAAAACTAATTTTCAACTTATTACCTCTTCCATTTGATGATTATGTGTCCAATGATGAATGGATAACTAAAGAGGAAGATGATGTTGTTGAGATTGATGAGGCTCAAGGTGAATATGGTGGTAGAAATGTTGACTTAGATGGAGCAACAAGATATCCAACTTTAGATGCACTTGATCTTCATAATCTAACTTTTGATGAAAAATGTCGATGCACAATTTTCTTCTCGAGAAGCATTTCATAGTGATGAAGATGATGGAGATTATGACGTCATTAGACAATTGGACATAGAAACTTGACATTTGTCCATTTTTTTTTAATTATTTAATTGCCAACACTCAATTTATGCTTTGCAATATTTGTATGAACTTATTTGTTCAGTACACTTTGAACTTATATAGTAATCATTCAGTGCTTAATGCAGTTATTTTACTATTGTGGAATTTTTTTTCAACTATTTTTGTTTAATTATACTAATAAACTATTGAGTTAGTGTGTATGTTATTATAGAAACTAATTTTTTTTCATATGAAGTACACCCTTACAAGTTTACAAATAGAGTTTACATAGCTCCCTCAAGTTTACATAAACTCTCAAGTTTGATAACCTTGTTCAAGGGTACCAATAGAGTGTCAGGTGATTACAGGAAGCTTGATGACACTAGAATACACACAGAAAAATGTTGCCACCACAATGTGATCAGCGTTTTGCAAGATGAGTACCTTTTTGTATACCTAAGTTTTATAACATTGCAGATGCTTAATTAGTTCCTATATGATCAGTGCTTAAAGTAAAACCAGTTCTTAGGATAATATGGTAATATCCTAAAATTATACTAGATCGGTAGTTTTAATTGTTCTTTCACTCTATCCTAATAACTCGTAAGTTTCTTAACCAGGACTTAAATGTGCAAAACTCTGATCAAACAATGCATTACTTTAACTAAAAAAATTGACACAGTTCTTTTTTAGCATTTTCTGTATTTTTAAGTTTACTAACTCTTATTACAACCTATCTTGTTCATCATTGCACCTACCATGAAGCACATTCGGGATTCAGTAACTATAAAAGTAACCTCCGTGGTTGATTATGCTGCCTTATTTAATTATTCAGACTTTATGCTCTATCCTTGATTCTAGTAAGGATGAAGGAAATAATTGTACAATATACATGATGAACACAAATCTAATATAAGCACCAAGTCTTAAAAATTGACAAAACAAGTTCCATACCTTCCATACTCATCAACAAGCATGCCTTCCATTTCTCTAATAGGGTCATCCACAGCTCGTTCTGCCCGAGATGGACGTCTAAGAGAAAAGCTAACTGTAATATCATCATTTGAAATTCCAATATCATCCACATAACTACGAAGAACTGATTCAGGAAAAATTTTCCTCTCAAGCCACAGCTTCAAAACCTGCAATCCACCCAAAAACAAATTAAAACAAAGTTGACATCCACCAAACTTCCGTCACCTTGAAAAGTAAAACATAATCCAATTTAGACAAATCCAATTTCATCAAACATAGACTGCAGCCAGAGTCAAGTAACTTCAAGCTGGATTTTGAGAAAGCTTCTGATTGAATAAGTGTAACCTAGATAATGTCATTAATAGAACATAATTGCCAAACATGGCGATGTTAGGCTGAGAGGTTGAATTTGCATTATGGAAAGTCATCCAAGATATCTTGAGTCATGAATGAAACGAGAACCACTATCTCAATTTGTACATTCCGTTATTGGATAATATCTTAACATCCCCCTAGTTCTACTGTTTCGCTTTTGTCATTAAATATTAACTATGGGAAAAGGAGCTGACCTTGAGACACTGACGACGATTTTCACGGGCACTAGCTCCAGGGGGAGCAGCAGCACCAAGAAGACGTGGCAATGCTGCCTGAACAGTGGGAATGTAGGATGCTCCTGCAATGCCTAAAATTTCCTCTACAATTAGGGAAATCAATGCCATGAAAAGAATACTACCGAAACTAACATATTTTGGTATGAGAGCACAGGGAGGAAAACAGTGATAACAATTGCTAATAGTATTCTATTCTAATATCTTCAGTAATCACCCACCTTTTTGATTATGTGAGCACTGGGTGATAGAATCAACAAGAAAAAACAAATCCACTTTACGATGAAAACTAGTTTCACTTTCCAGCTTTCGAATAAGAAGTTCAACAACCTGAACAAAAAGGACTAGGAAGTAAGTCAACAACAGTTACATTAACAGAACTGCCAAAATCAGTAGCCAAAAAATGACATTTAGGAAAAGCATTCACATTCCAATCAATGATCAACTAAATATAAATGAAACAAAAAAGATACAAGTCTTATCTTCTATGGATCCTTGATGTTCTTACTAAGGATTTTCTATATGACAAAAATTACTTATCACAATCATGTAAGCAAGAAAATTAAATAAAAAGCACAAAAGTAAACTAATAGTGCTTAAACTAAAATTTAGACCATATTAAGAGCAGACTGACAAATAAATAATGTTCCAAGGCCTTTATTATCAATAAACTTATGGCTTAGCCTCACACACTTATCCACAGGTTGTGATTTCCTTGCCATCAAACTGACAATGTATTAGGGATAACAATCTTCACACTTCCAACATAATTCAAAATAAAAACTTGCCAACAACCAAATCAAAGTATTCTCATTAAACTAAATATTAAGACACTTTTCTGCAGCAATTCCATTTTCTGTAATGGTTCATAAAGCTAGGAAACAATTTGGATGAAAGCAACTGTCTAATTCACAACTCTTAAACTATAAATAATACAATGAAGCGTACCTCGTTAGCAATGCCATACTTGGCACAGTCAATGGCAAGTCGAGTTGCACGACCAATACTTTCCTTGGTCCTTGACAATGTTTCAATCATTCCTTCAAATGCATCCCGAGCAACAGCAGCCTCAGTACCACCACTCAGTGAGCCACCTGGACCCCTTTGCCCTGAATCAACTCTTCTATCCTCAATTTCATCAGCATCAAGTTGATTATGAGAAGCAGAAGGATGTTCTTTAGCTGGTGGAGAAGCCAACGATGTGTGCTCATAAACTCCTTGCATGTCTGCATGCAGAAAATTGCTCGAGACAGACAGAAATGGCTGAACTGTAGACGGGCTAGGAGTTCCCCCCTGAACACTGGGAAAGCCAGAGGGAGGAAACTGTGAATGAGCCTGTTTCCTTTTCGCCAGGGCAGCAGCAATAAGATGCTTCATAGTACCTTTCCCTTCTGTGCTTACCTCCAATCTTTAATAAAATGTAGAAACAAGAGGGAGAAGGATCAGTGAATAGTAAAAAACAAACAAAAAAAAAACAAAGTATGTTTACCTATCAACATGTAGAGCATCAGTATCCTTAAAACCAATTGTTGAAACAGGAACTTCAACTGCCTGAGGCAATATCTCAGGTGTACTTTTAGAAATTTCCGCCGACAATGAAGGCTTCTTTTTATGTGTAGCAACTTGATTCTGAGAAGAGCTCAGGTTATGTGAATACTTTGAAAGCCCATGATCAACCCTCTTATGAGTAGTACCATTATTGGAAACTTTAAGTGACAGCTTTGAAGCTTTAATCCGCTCAGCACTTGACTTACTTGCAGGTACCAATTGAGGTGATTTTAGTGGGGAGGTAGAGCTCAATTTTGCTGCATTGGAGGGAAGCTGCTTCAAATCTAAATTTTCAGGACTATGAGGAATATGCACAGGAATAACTTCGTCATGTTTCTCTCTATCTTTCTCTTTTAGAGGCTGCTTGGTTGACAAACTGTCATTATATAATTGAGATGATGGCTCTTTCAAATGGGTATCCTCACGCTCACTAGAACTTCCTTGAGCAAGCGGAACAACATCTGACTTCTCTGAGTGTGCATTGTTGCTCTTCTTGGCATCAGAAACAGAAGATGATTTAACATTTTTTCCAGCTCCTCCATGAACAGGAGTTTTAGGTTCGTCATCATCATCATCAAAAAGACAAACAGCTCTACGTTTCCTCTCTACTTGTTTTATCATAACATTACTTGTATCACCTTTCAGTCTGAGATAATTCCTTTCTTTCTTTTCCTCAGATGCAATGACTGAAGAATCAGGCGTAACTTTTTGAACCTGGATATGATGTCTAGTCGCTGCTAGCAGCTCATGGACAGAATCATCAGAAACTGCACCACTAATTTTACCCCTTGATGACAAGCTTTTTTCTGTTTTCAAATTTGGTGTAGACTTCTTCAATTCTGACTTTTTAAATAGTCTCTCTTCAATAACTGTAGAACCAGGTGAAGCTCTTTTCAGAACTTTTGAAGGATATCCCAAAGTTGAATCATCTTTGGTATCCATGCGCTTCAACTTCTTGGTAGCATGTAAAGATTCATTTGCCCCTAATGTATAGGTTGAATGAAGTTGCATCTTCTTCCGCAAACTAGAACTTTTACCATCGGCATCCTTGGAATCAACCGAGAACTCAGGCAACTCATTTTTTACCTCAAGACTTGTTTTGACTTTTATCATACTGCTATCTTTTTCCCCGGCATTATCATTGTTGTCTGATTTAAAAGTATCTGGAGAATCCAATTTAACATCAAATGCATTTTTCCTTTTCTTCCCAGCTTTCATTGTTTCTCTGGACCTAGAAAGGTCACCACGATCAGTACAATTTTCCACCTTAAAAATTCCAGTAGATGATCCACCATTTCTATCTCTATCACCTGCAGCTTCACTTCTCTTTCGGGAACCATTGACAAGCTTTCTTGGCTTGGTCCCATTTGCTAAACCACCGTGTCTGTTATCATTTTGCCCAAAATCATTAACATTACTTGCAACTTTAAGACTTGATTTGTTACCATTCTTCTTTGGCTCTGAACCCATGGATAATTTACTTTTGATCACTGGTGATGAGACAGAAGAACTTTCGTTTGGATGGTCAGATACAGAATGTTCTTCATCTTGGCTGTCATTTTGCCCTACTCTAGGTGTACAGTGCTCAAGATTAGAACCAATATTCTCCATATCTACGTTATCTTGTTCTGCATTTGATAACATAGTGTCAATTGCATCCTTAAGGTTAACTACTACCCCATCATTAGAAGGAGCCTCTGAACCAATGCGAGAATCGTCAGTGTCATCTGTCAAACCACTAGCCTTCTGTTTCTGCATCTCATCAAATGCTGCACATATTTCCTTCACAGCTTGGGCAAAGTACTTAGTCTTGCCTTGAAGACGAGCTGACAGCTTATTTTTAGCCTCACTGGTAAATGCCTGAATATCTGCTGGGGCAACAAAAGCACTGCGAAGGAAAATAACATAACGTAAGTACAATTGTAAGAAAATAAAACGCAGAACATTCAACATTTAATATAATAAAAAGAATTAACATGAAGGAACAAAACACAAGTTTTATTTTTATTAATTTGGGGACTGAATGGAAACAAAATAATAAAATTATAGTACAACATTAATCTTCAAAATCTTGTTACCATTTACTTCAGATAAAAATTAGTCAAGACACTACCAGAGAGGACAAAAGAACGTCAAGACAATATACATGAGCTTAAAAGAGTTGTTTAAGCCCTTTACCATGAAGGATACAGTCTCAAAAGATTCATCAAACACTGAAAAGTTTCTCAAGCCACTTGTCCATCATCAACATGTTTTCTATAAGGCCATTGATGATCAAGAATTAATATTTTCATTGATCTTGAAAGGTCTAAATACTATGTAGAAGTTAAAAGGTCATAGCTATAACCACAAAATCAAGCTTTTGATTGAAAACTCAAGCAGCATGTTCCACTATAAATCAAACTAAATCGCCAAATTTGATTCTCTCATCTCTTAAGACTCTGACCCTCTAATTCATTGGGTACATGACTCCTCCTTTCTCCTTTTCCCTTTGGATACACTCAAGGACCATGGTATTGACAGAGTCTAGATAGGATCGAACCCCTCCATCCCTTAAAAACCACAGATGGTTTAACTAATTTACACAATCAAAATCTCAAAATTTGCCAAATAAACTCTAAAATCATTTTTGTAACAGTCAAATCATCTCTGCAACCCCAACTGCATGAATTATGACAGAATATAAAACTTTTATACAACGTCATCTTCAATCACATCGGAAGTTACAGTCTTTCTCTTAAGGCACATAATCTTAGAAATATATGTTACAGATATAAAAATTTAAAGTAATCCCTAATCCTCCACCTAATAGCTTAAGCTTTTACCAAATTATAGCCTCTAGTCCAAGACTAAATAACTAGAAATAACATAGCACATACTCACCACTCCCATTTTTTCAGCAAAGTAAATGATATGCATTGTCCATTCTGTAAACCAAAAGAACCTTGTCAAGGAGGGTGCATTAAAGGTGTAAAACTTTCTTTGGGCTTAACCTAATAGCTTAATATTTTAGATATGTTAGTCCTCCATTGATTGCAAAGCCAATTATACACTAAAAGTAATTAATGAGAATAAATATTTACATTACCAATTAGACACCAGACATCATCAATCTCATAATGAAACCACCATAACTGTTATGGTAACCACCATCACTTCCACTGTTGTTACCAAAACTTTTGTCATCATCATTATTGCTATCATTGTTATCACCACTCCATCTCTATTGCACAACTACCACTACATTGGCATCACCATCATCTCGTTATTAGCAAAATCACTTCTATCTTTGTCATTGTCACCATCATCTCGTTATTACCATTGTCATCACAACCACTACAACAGTAGTCATCTGCCTGTTACTACCACCTTTTTATTATTGTTGACGTCAATGTCACTATCATTGTCACAACCATCATCATCACCACTGTTGCCACTACCACAACCTACCATCATCTGATCCTTATCATGGTGTGCACCAAACACCAGGTAGTATGTTTATCTTACTTTTATCCAATCACGTTTCTATCTTAGCCGTGTAACCTATCATATCCTGACCACCAAACAAGCTCTTAAAGCTCAAAATACTGACATATAGTGTGACAGCAAGTGATAGGGTGTTTCTTCCATAATTCTGCATGTCACCTCTATCACTTTTTTCTCATCCAAACTACGCTACAATCTTGACAAATTAAGGGTCTTCCTCTTTACTAGTTCACATAATAGTTCCTCTTTTAATAGCAAAGTTATTAAAGCCATTGCGGTAGAACTTAACACCATTTATGAGACCACTTGGCAACCTGTGCATTCACATCTTTTAACTGCATACAAGTTACAAGAGAAATCAAGTGAAAGAGGCTTACATTTCTTTTGTACCAAAGAATTGAACAAAATATTTCTTTGGATCAGGGATTTTCTCCCAATCCTCAGGCCTGCTTATCTGAAAAAAATACAACAAGATTAGCATCATCCTCGGTGCTATCCAATAATAACCATAAGCTGAAAACCTTATAACAAGCAGAAAGGAACTACGTAAAATGGGGGGCAGATCAAATTTACCAAAACAACTTACAGCATTCAGCTAGAATAATCTATGCACTAAAAGCAAAGTAGATCATATCTTAGAATTTGGATTTCTACCTAACTCACTCTAAAAAGGGTACTCCTTACGCACTATTTTAGTCATACTATTACTAGTCGGGTTGAATTCTCCAACACACCCGCTCGCAACGTCCGATAACCGATTAGCTTGTGCAGTAGGTTCAATAACAACCATATCCCTCCGATACCATCTAGAATTTGGTTTTAGACCTAACTCAATCCTAAACACTTGCTGAGCAACGAAGCTTATTCCTACTTACTCTGTCCCTATATGACTAGGTAGGATCTTTAACACATCACATTAACAAAGTAAAACTCCTCATCAGAGCAATTCCACAAAATTAAAAGAAAATAGGACTTGAAAGTCATACTGAACCATTGAAAACCTTAGCAAAATAAGCTAAGAGTGCCGTCACTGATAATCAGCAGCCAAATAGACACACATGAGCTATGCAGAGCAAAACAAAAGAAATAACGATGATAGTTCTGAAGAAAGAAAAGGAGTTGACGGAAGAGAGTGAGACCTTAGCAGGCCAAGCGGGGAAGCCCTTGACCTTAGCAAGCACAAGATCGCCCAAACTCAAGTGGCCATTTGCCTTCGCTTTGTTTGCTCCGCGTCGACGCCCGGGAGCCATGACGGCTCGTGGACGCTACACAGAGTGCACGCAATTGAAAAAAGACGTCCTGGAAGAAGGAAAGGAACGAAAGATCAGAAAACCCTAGAGATATCCCGCGGAAGCGCCGCGGGGATCTTGCGCAGGTTTCAGCGGCGGCGGAGCGCAAACAATCGGGAGAGGAAGGAGGAGAATCTGAGAGTGAAGGAGTTGCAGGGATTGCGATTCGAGGCGGTCGCAGGGAGAAGGAAGAGGAAGAGAGAGAATAGTAGATTTTGTTGTTTTTGCAAGAATGGCTTTCCGCACAATGAGTATGGGACCTAATGGGAATTTTCTGATCTTTTTCTTTTTTGGTTTTGCCACTGCCCACTATGTTTGCTTGTTCTTTAGATCATATAGCATACATCACTTCAAAATCCTTTATATTTTCTATAAATACTGTTTATATTTTTTCACTCTAGATAATCTCTAATTAAAATGAGAATATGTAACAAAAAAAAATTATTGTGCTAATAATAGTTGTGATAAAGATTAATCAATCTTACATAAATTCATTAAAATTATCAAATTGTGTGTTTTGTTTTAAACATTTACTTAAATTATCAAAATTTATGTTTTATTTTGAACATTTAATTTAAGTTTGTATTTAAAGCTCATATCAATACCACAACTTAAATTTAAATATTGTTTAAATTTCAAGAACTCTATGTTAATTATTCCTACACTATATTTTGATGGAAAGGTTAAAATAGTTTGATACACAAATAAAAAGTAACAAACATATCATCTATAGTCATTTGTGATTTTTTATATATAATAGAACATCCTAAGTAACAAAAATGATACATTTAAAAAGTGTATACTCAAAATTTAAGAGTCAGTTACAATTTTTAGAAAAACTATTATGCCAAAGACCAGTCTCTGAAGTTATTTCTATTAACTACACTGTTTTGGTATTAATAAAAAAAATATTTAAAACAATAAAATTAGAAGTTAAAATGTATTTAAAAAAATTACTAAGAATATACCTTGTGTGTGTGTTTTTTCACTTGTTCCAGGAAAATGTTTGATTTTCACGCAGGTTATAGGTGTACTAAAAAGAAAACTAAAAGTGATTATCGATTTAATGATGGAAATTAGGAACAATGCCTATAGAATAATAATGAATTATTTTAAAATTCAATCTAAGTAATAAAAAAATCAATTCAAAACAATTATATTAATAAGTTAAAATAAGATGTTTTTCTTAAATTATTCATAAAATGTTATTCATGAATTTAATTTTCAAAATCATATTAAAACTAGAGAGTTTATGTAGTCCATAAATATTCAGTTAGCTTACTAAATTACAAATATATGTAAACTTTATTGTTCATATTTTGTCTATTATTATATGGATATCAAGTTATTTTAAAAGTAGTTTAAAATAATTATTATACACTTATTTTTTTATAAAGTTTATTGTTTGTCCATCTATTGCGTGAAAATATTAGTTTAGAAAAAGTTTGTATTTATATTTAAATTGTACAGATATTTTTTAAGATATATAAGTTTTAAATGGACAAAAAATAGAAAGTTTACAGAGAGATTATAGGTTATTTTTTATTTCATTACAAATTTCATTTGTTTAAATTCTCTTTTAAGATTAAGATTAAAAGATCTTATTGAGATTAAAGTATTTTGATATTAAGATTTAAAGGATAAGTCGAATATTATATTCTCAGTGGAGTACTAGGAAAAACTCATTAAATTATAAGGTCAAATAAGTGGTTTAGTTTCTATTCAAAATTCTTTTTTCTTTTTCTTATACATGTATATATGAAAATATTCTTTTTTTTCTTTTTCTTATATATGTCTATAAGAGAATATATTATTTGTGTAAGTATTGATATGTAAATAAGAGAAGACATTGTCTATGTAATTATTAATATTTTGAATTACCGTGGAAAAACTTTACTACAAGTTATCTTACCACTAGGAATTATAATGTATAGAAGAAAAAGTGTGAAAGAATTTAAGTTTACAAAAATAACACTTGTTGAAATATTATGCACGTAGAGTTTGATATGTATATCTTTTTCACATAATTGTTGAAATAATGTAAAGTAGTTGTGATTATTATATAATAGGAAGATAATTACAAGTATTATTAGTATTTTAGATTAATTTTTATATGTGGTCAAATTAGTATGTATTAAATGTAAATATTGTCTTAATTGTTTTTTGAATTAATATTCCTTGAGCGGTGAACCACCACTTTAAGTGACATTGGAACGGTTATATTGTTAAAAAGATGTAAAACCATTCAAGTGACGAAGTCTACATCACTTCAAGAAGGTTATTCAAATGATACCTAGTTGATATTTACCATAAAATTATTTGTTGTATAATTATTTATGTGATTGATAAGGAAATAGATGAACACATGTTATAGTATTGTCTTTAATGGGTATGTGATAGTATTGTGGACTTAATTCTTCTAATATTAATAACACTCATTACAAAATTAAACATCATATGTTTCACTAATGATTTGAAGAAAATTTATCCATCAAACTTATTCATAAATAAGTATATAAACTACCTTAACATAGAAAGTATAGTAAGGAAGTTGATGATGAAATTTTCATGTTTATGACTAAACATACTTAATAAATTATAGCATTTTATTGAGATGCAATTGATAACTTCTACAATCATAAATAAAAATGCATGATATATGTATGTGTTGTGTTATACATATAACACATGGAAGTGTGAATGATTTTAAATAGAAGTTCATCCTTGTGCATATTTTTGTAAATTGACATTATCTAGACTTTATATTAATGATTTAGACTTTATAATGCATTATATATTGTTTACTTAATATTCTAGCAATTTATAATGTACCCGATGAACTAACATGTTTTCATATATACATCTCCACATAGAATCTCAACCAGTTTTCATATATACATCTCCACATAGAATCTCTCAACCTTCGAACATGTATTTTCATCTTTCTTTTTTACAATACCCATTCCCTAGTCCAGTAGAAACACTTAAAAATTGTGTTGCTAAAACTAAAGATGGATTATTAACAAAGTATTCTATAAAATTGTGAATTCAACCTTACAAAAACAACATTAAATATTTTTAATTTGAATCTAAAATAGTATTTAATTTTCTTTAAAAACTAATATTAATGAAAAATATTATATTTAACGTTTAATATGTATGTTGAAAATACACATTAAAAGAATTGCACTAAGAACACAAGTTAGTAACAAATTACGTTGAGTATGGACGGGTGCCACGTAATCCTGTAAATAAGCTATTTTGGTATACTTATTGGTCTATATTACAAACATGCCCATGGATCATATATGTTTGATTTTAATTATCTTGGGGTTAGAATACTTTATTTTTGGAATATACCATTGTTTTCCAGCCCAGATAATTGTAGTATAAATGTTTGTTTAGGGTTCAAAATATTGGTGATCCTGCTATTGGCTGTCTTGTTATAACTGTTTGGGGTCTGGTACTCCACAACGCTATTTGAAATTGATTACTATGCTCCAACAATCAACCATTTCTTATTCATATACTCCACACACATACACAAAATGTTGCATTTACCAACAGCAACAAGTTTATCAAAATCTCCACATGTTTTCTATGAACGTCTAATTAAATAACCAAAAATGGCCATAGTAGTAAGTTAAACATATCACTACAAAAAAACAAGATCACCTTGCCAATTTATCATGACAGGAATACATTTTAATACATACAATGACTATAAAATTTAAGGATCTCCTTTTGCCTTATAGAATATATGTGCAATAAACACATAAACAAGATCAATCTAAGAGCATGGCAATAGAGGTTGGACATATTTGATTATCAAAGCTCATATCAATTTGTTAAGAGCTAAGGTAGCCTCAAGTAATAAAACTCAATAGATATCAAAATTTTACTCTTCACACAAAAGTTAGTACTCAAAAGTAGAATTAGATGCCCTCACTGAAACAATCATCTGGTGTTATTGTGGATATAATTAGCAATTCAACATAAAGGTGCTTAATGGTCCAAATTTGTGTGACAAAAAAATATGCCAATGAAATTATGAAACCGAATTGAGCACAATACTGAAGTTTAATGATCAAGTCTAACTCAAAACTGACAGATTATGTTTGGTTGATAAAACTATATCAGCTGCAACTTATACCTAAGGTGACAGGCAAAGCATTTAAATACAGCAAGGATTCCCAAAAGAAATCTTACCCTCCATCTGGATCTAATTGGAACCTTTGTCTTTCCCTTCATTACCAACAGCATCAGAAACCAAAGTGATAGGTCTCTGATCAATGACCTCGTCAATGATCCCAAACTCTTTGGCCTCTTGTGGACTCATGAAGTTATCTGCGTCCATATTTGCCTGAATGACCTCAACCGACTTGCCCGTGTGCTTGGCATACAACTCATTCAAAGAATCCCAAACCCGAACGATCTGCTTGGCATGAACCGCAATATTCTTTGCCTGGCCACTAAAACCACCAGAAGGTTGGTGAATCATGATTGATGCATTTGGAAGAGCCCGCCTCTCCCCCCTGGCACCCGCAGCCAATAGGAGAGAACCCATGGATGCAGCTTGGCCCATGCATACCGTACTGACCGGAGACCTAATATACTGCATCGTATCATAAATAGCTAGCCCTACACATAACAGTGACACCAATGCCAGGTCTCAGAACAGAGCATAAATTATACACACTTGAAATTTTTTTTAGAAAAAGTTAACATATTCACATGATTTCTATAGTTGTCTCCATTTTAAGTTGTTTGTTCCCATAACCATTCTGTGTTACAATTCATGACTAATCTCTACAAGGAAATCCACTAACTTGAAGAAAGTCTATCTGGGTTGGTTAGGCAGGGTGTATGAGTTGTTGTAAGCTATATAACATATATTCAATTCTTAAGGATAAAAAGAATCTAGTAACCAAGCCTACTGAAATCTCTCTTCTCTGATTACATTTTTTTGGTTTTTTTGTTCATGAAGGAGACTCAAAATCGAATCCCAAATAAAACACCAGAACATTCTATTGCAAAAACCAACCAAATAGTTTACCCATTAGAAGTCACTTATTTGACCCATTGAGCAATTACCATTGATTATAGATTAAAGAACAAAAACCACACATTTTACACATCACAGATGCGTTCCATTCTATTTTTTAACAATTAGGGGTGTTGCAAAATGGGTTCGTCGAAAAATGCGATTTTGAAGAGGTAAACGCAATTAGAGAGAGACAAGAGACGATGAAATGAAAAGGGTACCTGCGGTGACGGCACCACCAGGGGAGTTGACGTACATGTTGATGGGTTTGGAAGGGTTTTCGGATTCGAGGAAGAGGAGCTGCGCAACGACGACGTGAGCAGTGTCGTCGGAGATGGGTCCATTGATGCAGATAATGCGCTCCTTGAGGAGGCGCGAGAAGATGTCGTAAGCCCTCTCCCCTCGGGAAGAGTGCTCAATCACCATTGGGATGAGACTGTACGAACGACTACTGCATTGGGATTGAACGTTCCTTCCATGGAACAACTTCCTCGTCAACGAGTTCGAGCTTCGCGCAAAACCTCTCATGGCTCCCAACACGATCCGAAGTTGGGGTTTTTCGATTAGCTTTGCTTTGATTAGGGCTTCTCTGATTTGGTTTTCTTATGCTTGTGTTTCAGTTCATTCTTTTTAATTTTAGAAACCTCATTTTATTTTTGACAACTTGTAATAAATATCTCAATTTATAAATTGTATTATAATTAAAATTATTAGTGTGTAAATTATACCTTTTTTAATTGACAGATGTTTTTGAATATAAGATATATTTCGGATATATATATATATATATATATATATATATATATATATATAATAGGTTAAACACATTAATTTAAATTTATTTGTTATCTAAAAACTAAATAAATTCTTTATAATATTTATAATAAAAAAGAGGTACACATTAAAGAAGGTTTTCCATTGCGAAGTAACTTCATAAATTATTAAATTTAATTAAAGAATATAAAATTTATGAAAAATGTAGAATAAAACATTTTCAAGTATATATATATATATATATATATATATATATATCCAAACATAATTAGGATATTTCTAATGTATACAATGCTAGTAAATGAATGCTTACTAGGGAAGTTCTTTTATGCATGTTTAAGCATCAATTTATCTTTGTTTGGAAGGTGAAGAAAGAATTAAAGCATTATCCTCCTTTGATTTTGAATGCCCCCAAAACTAAACAAATGTGGACGAAAAGAGGAAAATTTACATTAATTCTTCAACGAAATTACTTTTAACTAATTGTCATTACGCATAATGATTTTTTTTACACTTTTCTTGTTTTCTTCTGAATTAAGTAGGGTTTATTTTATTATTTTGGATATGTTTAAATGAAAATTTACTAAAAAATAAAATTGAATATTTTTTTTCCACATGTTATAATTAGTTCATAAGACATACTATTTTGTTAAGTGTAATAACTATTTTAAAATAAATAATTGGGAACGTCTTAAAGAATACAAGTTTATTCTTTTCTTTTACACGGTAAATTTATTATCTGCAATTCAATACATTAATGTCTATTTCAACTAATAAACCTTTAACCACTAGTTACTGTTTGATGTTTTAAATAACATATTATTTATATTCTCAAAAAGCAAACATAATATTCATAAACATTTAGACAATATGTTAAATTATACAATGACACAACATACAAATCTAATCATAATATTTTAGTCTATAAATCTTTATCCTAATCCTTACCCACATTCTAAACCCAAATAAAATTGACAAAAAGATAGAAGTTTCCAACCAAACATTCAACCTTTTCCTTGGTTCTTATCTGCATTTTCACATATATCGTTTTCTTCTTAAACTTACAACCTTATAAAACTGTTCATGGCTTCAAACCAAAACACTCAACCTTTTCTGCAGTTCTTATCCATATTTGATAAAAGTTCATTCACAACCAAACATATATATGTAGAAACTTTGATCTTTTTTTGTTTTAATAATGTTCCACATTAATAATTTCTTTAATGCTACCCCATGCCACGTATAGTGTAATTATAATCCAACAATTTCTTTAGTAATTAAATACAAAAAAGTCTTTAATTTATGAAATCTTTCACTTCATTCCTATTTTTTCTTTGCGCTTACGTGATCAATGCAAAAGTTTTAACATGAGTAGTTAAAAAGGAGTTTTTTCCCAATAAGTTTAGTTTATATTAATCATTAATTTTATTTAGTTTCATATTTTACTCTTATTCTTCTTTATTAACATGGGTCCATATTTGTATATCTAATCATATAAGAGACATTAAAATTATAATTCAAAAATATTATAAAACAATTAAAATAACACGTTGGTTGATAAGTGTGTAAAAGTAAAATCAAGCCACACGACTGTTTTCTGTGTAAAAATATATTGTAATTTTAACTTATAATGTTTTTCTATATAATTCAATATTTCAATAATTATTTGTTGATATACTTTTTTTTTCTTAACATTTTAAATAAATTTTATTTTCAGATAGCCAACACATGTACTAAATATAAGAGGCCTTTGTTTTTTATTTTGTACTTTCTATACAAAAGAGCAAAACTAAAGATTGTCTATGCAAGAATTTACATGTCTTGTGATTAATGGTAGCAAATATCCAGCGTAACATTCGATGATGCAACCATTATATTTTTCAATAGTCCATAACATCAGAAAAGCATCAATTGTGTAAGTTCCAACCACTCCAACATTGGCTTACTCACATCTATCTTATATAATAAAATATGTTTACACTTTTTTTATACGTGTTTCTCAAATTTTAGGCAATCATGCAACGATTTATGGGAGCAACGGAGTGACGTAACAATAATTATTTTTGTAATTGTTTCTGATATAGGATTGAAAATCATAACATTTTATTTTGGGTTAAATATGCTTTTAGTCCCTAAACTATTGGTCGTTTCTGGTTTTCGTCCCTGTTTCAAAGTAAGGTACAATTTGGTCCTCATTCTTTTCGAAACGTTTGTTTTAGTCCTCGAAAACTAAACACTGTTTAAAAATTTGGTCCCTGTTTAAAAATTTGGTCCTCATTTAGCAACAAATGAGGACTAAAACCAAAATTCTGAGGACTAAAACGAACGTTTCGAAAAGAATGAGGACCAAATTGTACCTTACTTTGAAACAGGGACGAAAACCAGAAATGACCAATAGTTTAGGGACTAAAAACATATTTAACCTTTTTTTTTCAATTCTTTAACGTTGTTTTAAATTTCTATTACAAAAATATCTTCAATTTTTCATTTTTAAAATCCAAGTTTTTGTCAAAAATATTTCAACGTTCAAAGTCATTTATACGTATTTGATGATTTATTATAACAAAATTTTAAATTCATAATAAACACAATCACATACTTTTTTTTTTTTTTACTGTGTTTATAATTATAGATTTTAAAATAAAATTTTAATTAGAACTGATTTAATCATGACTCGTTTGTAATGTTGATGTTTAATAAATGCATTTCTGATACGTGTAAATAAAAGCCCTTTGGTCATAAAGAATGGAGTAAATCACCCTCGATTCCTAGAAACATATGTAGTATATTTAAGACTTAAGAAATACGTGTAATGTTTTAACAATTTAAAAAACATAACGTAATATAAAAATACCGATAATTACTAAAAAAATTACTACAACTTATAAAACGCGATAATAATGTGATTAAGTAGAGGAGTTTTTATTATACAAAATACAAAATAGAAATACACGCGTATTATACACAATTTTCTCAACAGTTATTATCAGTATCTACTGCAAAACCGCGACATCCTTGGATGACTTTGTTGTCGTTTGAAGCATCAACGACGGAATTGTCGTTGTCGTTTTGCGAAGGCAGGGATGAGATAGACGAAAGAGGTGGTGCAAAAGATCGAACCTAAACGACCCAACACTATCATTGATATCAAACTTATTATAAACATGCACGCGCCAATCACGTGATCCTGTTGATGCTTCTGCTTCTGCTTCCAGTCTCTCCCCGTCGTTTCATGCACCACATGCTGCCGTTTCGAACTTGGGAGAGAAACCGCGTGTTGACGCGTGTCGTATTCTGATTTGTTCCATCGCTTCTGCAGAAATTAATTAACCAAGTAACTGTAAAGAGATTAATATCGGTAATCTTTTAGTTCTTCTCCTTTTTTAATTAATAATGGCAAAATATATGAATAATAAAATTATAAAAAAAATCATACTGATGAAATATGCAAATAATCATACCGGCGACTGTGATTGTGAGAGTGGTTGGCTGAGAGTGGAATTGATTTGAGTGTTACTGAGTGGATTTGGCTTTGACTTTGACATTGACATTGACTTTGACCTCCACTTCCAGCTTGATGAATGCAGTTTGGTATAGCTCTTCATGTCAGGAAACTCTAACCCTTCTTGAAGCGGCACCGTTTTGGCCATTGATTTCTTGCTGGTGCGAATGTTCTGTTTGGGTGGGTTATGTTGAGTGATGATGGTGGAGTTATCTTTTGGCGTTTTGGTCTGAACTGATCCAAAGCAACATAGAAAAAGAGAGGCTTTGGGTTTTGGATATTGTAAGCCTTTAGTTTTGGTTTTGGCCATGGCTATGGAAAGTTTGAATGATGAAAATGGAAGCTTTTGAATGATGAAAATGGTGAGAGTCCCTTGCTATTTAAGGCACCCACACACTCCATGGTAGTGTTTATATGTCTTACACCCAAGACTTTGACCTAGTCTTTGTGTCTCATCCCTTCAACTTTTAGGTAACCTAAGCTCATTTCATATATATTATAGACTCAATTTAAGAAGGTATAGTTTTAGTATTTTTTAATACAGACTAAATTTCAAAAAGTTAAATAAACTATAAAATTTTAAAAAATTTCGAGCTAAAATGATATCTAATTTGTTTGGATGAAAATTAAACTTTTAAAAAAGATAATGATACTTTAGCAACATTTTTCTTACAATATTTTAACATCGTCTACGTGTTATTCTGTGATTGGTTATGTTGATGTTTATGATTAGTATTATTGATTGTGAAGTAATTTTGGATCAATTATAGAATGACACGTAGATAATATTAAAATATTGTAAAAAATAGTGTAAAGAATCATTATCCTTTTAAAAAATTATGCTAGCACATTCACTAGTTTTTTATATTCTTAACATGTTTTTTTAGTTAAAACTATTGAATATTACATGTTTTATAATTAAAATTTGTATTTACTGAATTTTCCTGATAATATTTAACAAAAATGAAATCAAAACTGTGTAAAAAAAAATGTGTTAATTTACTCGAAACATCTCTAACACATTATCAAACTTTATCATGAAAATTTATTTTAGTTTAAACAGATTTTACAATGCTAGCATTATTTTTAAGTCCTTTATTTTATTTTATTGTAAATTTTACTTCAATGATGGTATTTTATAAGAGTCATATTTGTTTCATGATTCAATTTTTTACGACTTGAAAAGGTAATTATATTATTTTAATTAAAACATTATTCTAATATTTAATTGACGATAATGATATCTTTAATTACACAAGTTGGCTCATGCATATATTAAAAACTATAAGCAGTGATTCTTATTTTATATGCTTTTCAATTTACGTTTGATTATTGCACATGATAAAGTTTATTATTTGAATGAGTAGAATAATGTTTTTTACTTTTATAGTTGAATTATTGATTTATTTTTGAATATCTCTTTATTGAAATGTGATGAAAGTCAAAAAGTAAGCGTGAAGTTAAACTAAATTAGTTTTGGATAAGATGCCCTAACCATGGGTTGAAGGGTGATGCAGAGATGGAGAATGTAAGAAGAAATGCAGAAGCTCTTGTGGAGAAGATGATGAAAGGGAATGATGCTTCCCATGACGCAGCTCATGTTTGGAGAGTTCGTGATCTTGCTCTATCACTTGCCGAAGAGGAAGGCCTATCTTCCGATCCTCACTCCATGCAAATCGTGACTTTTCTCATTACTCCTTTCCCCATTCATACCCTTTTTCTCTTCTTTCTTTTGTTCTATTTTTCAGCTTTGCATTGTATTCTTATTCCTAGGTTGAGCTTGCTGCACTGCTCCATGACATAGCTGACTACAAATACCTTAGGTTAGAAAATTTACATAAGCTTCTGTTTGTAATGTATGATCCATTCAGTTCAAGCATGATACTTTTATCTTGTTCCTTTCTTACATTACAGCAAAGTGCTGTAGTTTCCATTCATTCGTGTTGTAAATCCCACCATGTGGCAAAAGGGTCTGCTTGTTGATCATTTTTACTCCTTTTCTTCCAATTTACTATTCTGTGTGTTGTTCTTTCCTCTTTTTTTTGGGAAACTGATTTTTCATCCAGGGACCCATCTGAGGAAAAAATTGTTGAGAATTTTCTTGACCAAGAGGGAGTCGAGGAGGACAAGAAATTAACAATTTTGAGGATCATCAGAGAAATGGGTGAGTTTTGAGGGCAATTTGTAAATCTTTTGTCTCCTCAACATTGTTATTTATTACCTTTTGTTTTTGTTTGATTTATATCGATGTTATTTCAAGCTGTAATGTGGAAAATGTTTTAGCTTATGAGTGATCATTCGGATATCTTCTTTACTCTGATGTTATTTTTTAATTTTTTGTATATTCTTTTCTTTTTTATGCTCTGATGTGCTTATGATAGCTTTCTCGGATTTTTTTTTTTTAGTTGGTGCTCTGATGGGTACTGGGGTAGGGAAATATTTAGGACACATAAAGATATATAGCTTCCGTTGATTATATATATCCCCAAAAGTAAGAAACTCTGCTTCGAGGCTTTTGGACATTTTGTAACTATCTTTCACGGGTTCTGGATGTTAAGAAGAAAATGTGCATTTTCCCTGTGTTGAGTGTTCGTACTTCTTACACTTCTCAGTATCTCGTGTATTTCTAACAACAGTTGGTAAATTTCTACAATTTGTATGTGTGCTCTTAACAATATCTTGCTTCTACCACTTTTCAATTACATCTCTATTGGTATAAATACTCAGATAAGATGCTGCTTCCAATATCCAGGTTTCAAGGAAGAGGTGACTGGAAATGGAAGTAGTGATTGGTTTCCAGAATTTGGAGTTGTGCAAGATGCTGATCGACTTGATGCTATTGGTGCTATAGGTATTTTGTTAAATTAGCTGTGTTTCAGCTTTCAGGTAGGGGGTGCTCCAAAGGTACTTTAAATATTAGTCCCCAAAGGCTCAAAATCTAAAAGCTGGAGCAGTAATTGGGATATTAAAGCATAGTGAAAGGATTTTTTGACACCGTGCTGGGTTGTTTGCACCCTTAGAGAGAGACATAGGAAGATAGGGAAAAAGTGATAGCTGATATAAGTGATGTAATGAGAGAAGTAGTGAGAGAAGGAGGGGGATTTTAAGTGGGTGTTAAAATAAGTTATGAAAAGTATAAATGAGAAATCTTAGTTTGAGTCTTTTACCTCTATATCAGGAATTGCACGTTGCTTCACTTTTGGCGGGAGTAAGAAGAGGTTGCTGCATGATCCCTCCATTCTGCCACGTTCCGATTTGTCCAAGGAGCAATACATGAACAAAGAGGAACAGACTACTATTAATCATTTTCATGAGAAGCTTCTCAAGCTCAAAGATATGATGAAAACCAAGGTATGGCAATATAACTATTTTTGCCGAACACACCAAATTTTGCAAAAGGCATTCTTTTGTAAAGCCTGTCAAGAAAATGCTAATGTATTAAGTCTGTGTAGAAATACATGCATATCTATTAAAGTCTGTCGAGGAAATTGAATATCAACCACTTATTTCAGGCTGGGAAAAGGAGGGCTGAAAGAAGGCATAAGTTCATGGAGGAGTTTGTGAAAGAGTTCTACGATGAATGGAATGGCTTAAACTGATAAACATTTTTCATCTCTTCTTTCCTTGGACTATAGGGTCAGAGCTTCTTAAAAAATGAAACTCTGGGAAATGTTCAAATGTTGTTATTAACAATCCATGACATAATCGTTTCCTCTCTCAGCATGTCGGGATCCCCATGTCTTAGATTGTCTTGGATGTTAGACTATATAGTGAGCTTGTTTGTTGGTTACAAACATTGTGATGGATTTCAAGTATGTTTAGAAGGATAGAACTTGTTTATTGTGGAGCCCAACATAAGGTGTTTGATCCTAGAACAAGAATAAGTCTCTTATAAGAAGTAAGGATTAAGAATAGAGATAAGAGAATAAAATTTATGAACTATTAATCCTCTTTGGGCGTAATCCAAAAAACCAACTGATCTTGATGAGGAAAATCAATTGGTTAAAGAAAAAAAATTGCGGTTCCTGTTTATAGGATATACATTGCTGAATATTAGACAGATGATTAACGTGGTTAAATTTTTTTGGATAAGTTCTTATGAATCATGGAATAAAAAATGACAGGAAGTTGGGAAGCATTTATTCATTAAAGATAACAAACCGTACAGGCAAATGTTTGTAAAAGTACTGTCTATCTAATTCACACGGACCAGAAATATATTCATTAGGAAATGCAGTTCTGGAATATCCCATCAACAGAACATGAACTCCATTATTTAGCGTTTTCCAGCTCTATATCTATCCAATCCAATTCCTTTATCATTTTTGTACTTACAAGCTTTCCAAATAAGAAACAAACTGAAAACTATATTACTACTGCATGATCAGCATGAATTAGTTTATTTGAACCCTTCCTCCAAGTGTCTGTGAATTTGTGCAACATCCCTGCGGTATAGGTTAACTTTTAAGCCATGCTTCATGTACATGGTTAAGGCAAGCTTTGGCTCTACAGGGTGGTTCTCCACCACCTTCACACGGTACCGGAATATGATGCTGGCTGCAGCATATTTCATCTGGTAGTATGCAAAATCTTTGCCTAAGCACAAACGAGGACCACCATTGAATGCAGTGAATTTGTAGGCAGACTCACTCATGAACCTCCCATCTCTTAGCCACCTTTCTGGCTTGAACTCCTTCCAGTCCTTCCCCCATATGCTCTCCATTCTTCCCATTGCATAGATTGCGTAGATCACTTTTGTTCCTTTCTTTAGTACCGTTCCATCTGGGAATGTGTCATCTTTAACAACCTGAAAATTTCATAATTGCAAACTAGCATCACTTCTAAATGCATTCAATATGACTTTGAATTGTGTGATTTCTCTCACTACAGTATTTACTACGCATGTGTGTTTTTCATTGACTTGTCAGATTCATGCTTTGCCAGTAAATTTGACAATTCTAGGATTTCCCACTCTTTTATGAATATTTTATGATTGCCGTTGCCCGTGCCTAATTTTTCTAGGGGGCTGCCAAAGAATTGTGGTTGTTAGATAGACCTAATAATAGCTAGCAGCTCTGCATCAGCTCGGAGAATTTAATAACTAAGCCGCTTGAAGGAACAGATTCAAAGATCAGAACAAAACATAGGAGTACACTACTATTTTTTCTGTGTGTGGTCTTATTTCCTACCGAGAATTCTCTTATAATCTATGTTGACTTTTGATGTAAAAAAATTATTATTTAAATTATCCAAACAAAGTTTCAGTTCTAATTGAACAGCAACTCTGAAAACAGACTGTCCTGGCTTTACTAGACAATGCACATGTAGTGCTAAGATGAGTTTTACATCTCAAAACAGATATTAATAACCAAAATGGAATTACTCGTAAGCTTATAGCAATTGGAATGGAAAATGAATGAGTATGAAAGAAATTAAATAAATACCTCCTTGTGATCCACAGGCACAGAAGGGTATAACCTGAGAGCTTCTGATAAAGCAGCATGCAAATAGTCCATCTTCTTGATCTCCTCCGGCCTAAATCTCAAAGAATTATCAAACTCTTCCCTTTTTATGTCGTTCCTTTGACTCACCAACATGCATATCTCTGCTAGAATATTCTCCTCCACTTCAGGATTCTGTTCAAGCAACCAGAAAAACCAACTCAAAGCAACCGAAGAGGTGTCCCTCCCTGCCAATATAAAGTTCACACATATATCCCTCAAAAACTTATCCGAGTAGGGTCTTCCACTCTCATCCTTCAGCCTCATGAACACAGTTAACAAATCTGACCTATTATTGGTGTCTTCACATTGCAAAGAGAGTTCTTTCTTTCTAGTCCGAATGACATTCTCAGCAAACTCATCAACCCCTTTTATGGACTTCTTCAGCTTCCTTTCCACCCCGAGGTTGAGAAGCCTCATGGCCTTCCAAACGCACGTTGGGGTAACAAAACGAAACACTGTGGCTTCTGTTGCATCCTCAAAGGCTTTGGCAAATGGTATCTTAGGTAAACCCAGGCGCAAACAACCTGGATCAACACCAAAGGCAATCATGCAAACATTGTCAAAAGTTAGCCTTAAGAGAATGTCTTGCAGGTCTATTGCAACCGATTTCTTAACCGATGCCTCTAACACAGGCAAGAGCCTATAGTGGACAAGCTCGAACAAGGATTCCGTTGTTAATTGTCTGAACTTGGTTGAATGAAACTCAATGCTTGCTATTTTCCTTTGCTTCTGCCAGGTGTCATCGTCTGCATTGAATATACCATCTCCTAGCAGGTCTCTAACCGTGTTCCTGAAGTATCCTCCCTTAGGGAACAGAGGGAACTTGGTTTTGAGAAGGTGCTCCATGTTGCGAGGATCAGCAGTGACAATGCAGTTGAGGTTGCTAAAGCAAGGCCCTTTGAATCTGAATGTCCCGTTTTGCCTTTTGAGCACTTCTGTGATCCATTCATACAAGTTTGTTCTGAGTCCTGTGACCAAAGATGGAACCATTCCAAGGACAGGCCAAACGACTAGGCCATGGTGCCTCTTTTGTCTAAGAGAATGAATGAGTAGGAAGACAAGAACCGCAAGGAAAATCTCAAAAATTTGGATGTCTTGCATGAAGAAGGTGAGGTTGAGGGTTCTTGGTTTGGTCATGGCGTTGTAATGGAAAGGAATGTGGGAATGCATGGTATTGGTATGTTTTGAAGTGTAATATTGGAGGGTGGTGTTGGTCATGTATGTTATATGAAGTGGTGCACAGCATGCCTTGTGTTTCTTGGCGTGCTTAGTTTTGCATAATCAGTTTGATTTGGTGAGCTGAAATGTTTGCAATTGTGTTGGTTTTGGGTATGTTTTCTTGGTTGAAATTGTTCCAGGAATAAGAATGTTTGAACACTGAAAGTTTGAGTGTCAAAATACCTCGTTTTTGTGGTATGACTAGGAAGATGGAAAGTGGATGTAGCTGATAACCTAAGTCAGAACTGTTTGTACAGTTTTAATGTCACACGTTACTTTCTGATTAGGAACTTCATCAATAACTACCTAGTTGTTTGATTTTATCTTATATTGTATTGCATTGAATATAAGTTTAGTTTTATTGTGGGTCCACTGATTTGTGTGAAAACTTGTGGGTTGCCTTTTTGGTAGCACTCGGCAACTTGATCTTCTTAATGCTCTATGTGTCAACACTTGGCAAACTTCCACTTTTGGACACACTCAATCATTTCAACCAGCAAGGAAATTGGTTTGGCGTAAATATACAAAATATGTTTTTAGGCATTAAAATTAAATTTGAAACTAAAATTTATATATTTTTAAAATGTTAACATATTTTTATCTCAAAATTTTAGAATTTAATAAATATAACTTTTTTTTACATGTTAAATGGTATTTTAAACAGATATTTGATTTTACATATTAGAATGTATTAAATGAGATAAATTGTTCAAGTGTTAATTTGAAAATTTGTTTGACAGGAGAATATTTGAGACAAAGATAAATTTTAATTTTGTATCAAAATTTAAAGACTAAAAACATATTTAATTTGTATTTATATTTCATTGTACAGTTTAAAGAAAATTCACTCAACTTTAAATATCAGTAATAAAATTGCAACATAATCTTACTGTCATGAATAGTGTGTAACTATAAGTACCTACCCAATTTTGATGAATAAATTGTATTTATGAGCATTGATTATTATGCTTAGATGTTTGTGGTTGAATGATTATGAGAAGGAATTTGAAGGGTGTTTCTAAATTTGGTTGGAAGGTTTAGTCGGAGAAGTTTACTTGGTAGCATTGTGGGTACAATGTTGCTTAATACAGAAGAAAATGAGGTAAGAATTTAAACTATAGTCTTTGCAATTAAGAATGCAGTACATAATAACCATTGACACGTAAAAATTAAGGTAAAAAAAGAACAAGGTAGCATTTGTTATTTTATTAGCATTGCAGCAGTGGTTGATGTTTAGTCAAAAAAGGTTTGACTAAAATTTGAATTTGCAGTTGAAATTGAATTGTAGTTGTGAAACTGAGATGGCAAATTTGAGAAGAGAAAATAGACTAAAGAAGGAATGTAGATGAGTTGGAGATGCTGCTGTTGCTCAACTAATACACACCTAATGCACACGCAAAACGCAACCGTTCCCAAAACAAAAACCTAATTACCGTAAACATTTTCAGATAGAGGTTGACAGTGCGAACAATATCTATATTAAATATTTTTAAAAAATATAAAAAATTAAAATTAATATTAAATAATTACTGTAAATATAAGGATGTGTTAAAATATAATTTTATCATTTCTCAATATTTATTATAATATACTTTGTATAAACTTTACACAAATAATCTTATTTACTCGAATCTTAACTTGTAAATACTTATCAGTCTAAGTTTTCCATGAATTACTTTTTATGACCCATGACATAGTCTATTTATCTAAATAAAGGTTATACTTACTTATTTGTGTAATTTTCCTAAATAGGTTTATGGAAAATAAATTTAGGAAGTGATAGGAGACATGGGGTATAGGAAGAAAAAGTTAGGGTGCAAAAAGTAATTTGCATTGTTGTTTTTCGTTTTAGTTTGGATCTTGCTGTAATTCAAATAGGTAAATAGTTATTTATGGGAGGGTAAAGAGTAAAAGACTAAGGAAGTTGCTCCCTCCACCACCACAACCTTCTTCGCGCACCTCCTCAATTTATTTTTTTTCCAAAAATATCCTTAAATTAAATTTTTTTACTTTTACCATTAACTTTTTATACTTTTAATTAAAAACTCTAATTTTATATCCTCAGTGTACACCACACACACCCACCCCCTCTCTCTTCTTCTCATCTTTCCCGTCACCCACCCTCACACCCACCACTCGTCCCTCCTCCTTTCCATTTCCGTACCTACTGCCTTCAAAATCAAGGCCTAACAATGCTAAATGAAAGCACATACCTATGTTCAAATTTACTGGAATTCGTTAAAGGTAAAGGAAACCATCTTCGCCAAAATGTCTAGTTGGATCAAGAAGTGATTGGAAATGGTTTAGATGGACAATTTATTGTTGAATCTGAAGCTAAAATTCAGGGGCTCAAAAGCGGCACTGAGGGTTTAGTAAGGAGATTGCAGACAATGTCTTTTCTTTATTGTTGGTAAACTAGCTATGATAAATGATCAATTATCTGAGGTAAATTTCTTCATAAAGTTTTACTTAATGGAATTAAATTGTGAAACCTATGTTCTACTGTCTGCATGTTGACTTATTTTAAATCTGTTTTACATAATTTGTTCATTGAAAATTCATGTTGATCATGTTGATACTTGTATAGGATTCTTTAAGAACTGGACTTAAAGTATAATGTTTGTTGAAGCTTATTAAGAGACAAACTGTACTCTAAAGAGCTCCAAGCTGAGCAGATGGAAGTTGCTAGCAGTGGGAACTGTTAAAGGCCAAAACGGATGTCAAAATTGGTTTAGCCTTCAACGGATATGGATATTCAGATATCCCATGTCCGTTTGGCTGTAACGGATATCGATATCTGTCAACGTATTTTTTTTTACGTTTTAACTATGGTAGTCTCATTTTTATTGAAGGATAATTGTGGAATGGGTAGTCCAAGAAGAAATCTGTGGTGGTGCAGGAAATAACTCCCAAATATAAAATATGTGAACAGACGGATGTCAACATTCGTTGAAGGTAAAACGGATGTTGACATCCGTTTTAAAGAAGGGCAAAATTGGTATAGGGTGGTGCAGAGAGCATTCGATGGTGGTGGAGGGAGCAACTGCATAATAATAAAAGCAACTGTGTAGAAGAGGTTAGGTAGCGGGTAACGTGGCATCCCATGAGCAATTGGGTTAAAAAGTTGATAGGTCCAACTATTATTTTAAAAATATGAGATTATTGATGGTTGAGGGTAATTTATAACGATATTCTATCATCTTAACAATTTTTTTATACCACGTGTTATTGTTTTATTAATATGTTTAAATTTATTTTAAAAATAATTATTTAAAACATTAATAATAAAGCACCATGTCAAAAAAAAATTATTAAAAAAATATTTTTACTAAGGATTATCAACTTTTTATAATAAATTTTTGATAATAGATTACGTGTCACTATTTTATTGATCCGTTTGAATTTATTTTTAAAAAAATATTTAAAACAGACCAACAACAAATCACCACTAAATATTATAAAAAAATTATAAGAAAAATTGCTAAAATAATATTTTCCAACTAATAATATAATTATTATAATAAGGTTTCTTAGTTGAAACGTGCATGAATGGAAACTAGATGGAAGTTGGAAAAATAATGTCCCATCAAAGGTGTTATCTTTTTCCTTTTCTTGGGAGCCATAATACTCATCATTCCACTACCACACCCTTATGAAGAATATGAACAAATAGAGAGGAATTAAAGTCACTTTCACCGATACTTTCAAATCTCAAAAGTAGAGACAGCAGAAAATGGAAAATGATGCCCGTCATTATAAAGACGTGGTTACCTCCAAGAAGGAATATTATTAATTATAGTTAATATAATTAGTTATAATTACAATGAAAATAAGCACTTGTATGTGACATGTTAAGTATATTACCATGATACATCCTTTTTCTTCCAACACTATGTCTTCTCCTTTCATTACTTCTTGTGGTACACCATTATTTTGCCCTAGCTCAATCCATGTACAAAACTGGGCTGTTACAAACTGGGCTCAATAAAACTTAGTTTCGGGTCACTGTCCTTTAAGTCTGAGTATTACAAACTGGGCTCTTTCTTCCTGCACCCCGTAAATTAGTATATCTTCATTTTACCCTTATATATTTATAATAAAATATGAGGTTAATCTCTGGATGACCTCCTTCGTTAATCCGTTTTCCAAACCTTCTCCTGTGGAGGTGTGTGTATGGTCCACGTGGAAGTTTTAATTTACTGTGATTATTCTGTTTTAAATATACAGATTAATAAATACATAATTTATTGTTAATATATCGTCATCTACATAAAATATTTTAGAACATTTTTTTTCATGCATTTTTTGTTGGCATGTTCTCTCCGTTAAATAATTTCAAATAAACCGTCGATTTTTTATTACTCAACTTAATAAACATATTAAAAAAGTACGGTTTAATAAGACTAATTAAGTTTTTTCTTTTAATCTATTAAAATCATGTTTATATATCATAACTAATCTCAACCGTTTAATATTATAATTATTATTTATAATAAATTATCATTTTGGTAGTATTAACTACTATATTATTACATACTTTAGTAAGGATTATTTCAAAATAAATCGGCGACTCCTTCAAAAAAACAAATGGAAAATTTTGCATTGGTTGTCATAAAGAAATTCATTCTTATTAATATGCTCGAAGCAGAAAATTATTATTCAAATGGTAACACAAATTAACTAAAACAACTTATAGCAAATCATGGATAAACTTCGATGAGAGATTTGAAGCCAAATACTGGAGTAAACTTGCAGCTGGTGAAGCCAGCCTGGTATATAAGTTTCTCCCATTCTTTCTTCTCTCTTTCTTTTCCATTCAAGAGAGTCAACATCGCCAAGTCAAAGTTCAGCTTCAGCTCAGTCAAATCTCGATCATCACCTGCTTCATCAATCACCACGTCTATGATTATCACCTTTCCCTCCTTCCCTTTCCCAGAAATCGCTTCTTTGCAGTTCTTCAGTATCTTTATAGAAAGTTCATCATCCCAATTATGCAGAACCCACTGCAAAATAATCAACTCAAATTTCAGCTATACACAATCAATACATTACTCCCACATTCACAATACCATTTTAATAGTTAGGAACCTATGAATGTGGAAGACTTTGAGATTAATGTTTGATGAATTAATATATCTATGTATACCTTGAGTAAAACTGCATCGGCAGAAGGAATCGATTCAAACATGTCACCACCAACAAAACTCAGATTTTGGGTTGTTTTCAAATTGGCCACAACTTG